TAATTATTAGTATTGATTATTGATTATTTTATAAATATTTATTCTCTATAGTCACTGAACTCCTCCTAAACGGCTCGACCGATTCTTTTGAAACTTTTGTTGCATATTGGGTCGGTCTGCGAATCGGATCTAAACTCATCTTTATAAGTATACCCACCCTTTACATCATGTGCAAAAATAATACATATGTACATAAGTTGTTTCTTTATTCAAAAGGCAGCTAGTTTTTGATCAAGTTGTCCTTACGTTAGTTTTTGACATAAAATAATATTCGTCTGTGTGTATAATTTATTTATTAAGACGATCGAAGAAAATAACATAAATGTGCATATGGACATGTCGCTTTGTCGTGAATATCAGTAACAAGAGTTGCGAAATTATTGAAATCAACATAAATCATTGAAAAGGAGACAACCGCGACTGCTCATAATTGACACTCAAAAAGCATTACCAACAACTCCAACAAACTCTAAGATGGCATATGTAAGGAATCAGGTAAAGTGTCACTACTTTAAAATGAGGCACCACAAAAAATATTTAGTGGTCTGCTCATCGGCACAGATCAAGAAGGCTATTCGTACATTCATGGGAATGGATCAAGTAGGACCTTAATTATTTATAATATGTACTTTTATATATATATTTCCGACTATATATGTGCATAAAAATGTATGTGTTTGAACTCTTCTCAATTAGTTTTGTATTTGTCTCATAGACTTCCGATTTTTGTCTGTGCTTTTTAAGTTTTTTGTGAATTGAGTGAATTTTCATTGGGATAAAGTGAACAATGCCAGCAAGACGCATAAACAGTAGAGCAAGTCATGCAATGTTAATGCATAAAAGTCGACTACCAAGAACAAGTGAACAAATTGAACAAGATAATGCAAATTTTTGTGAGAGCCTGCCGCTGTTGAGTGAACAGAACAGAAGATTTACGAAATGAAAACAATTAGCAGAGACAATTTGAGTCTATCGAGAAATGGGCGCCGGTACATAATTGACTCCATCAGAGAAAATTACCGAAAACGCCAACAAGTGAAAAAAGCATTTACACCGGCTTCCTTCCTTTGTCTCGCATTACAATAAGAGTCAGATATTGAATATTACGCTGATCCGAAAGTATTGATTGGTGCTATGCACCAAGAATGTCCCCATTGTCACGCGTTTAAATACAAACGATTCAAATGGTATGTGTTATGCATCAGTAAAGTGCAACTACCTTTAATTAAGACACCACCGGAACCATTGAACGCTTGCTCATCGGCGCGGATCCAGGTTTAAACGTCATAAAATAAAAGGAAACGCTTGCAAAACAATTATTGGGTCAATAACCTATTATTATTATCAACACAAATACTTGCTACTTAAAACTGCAATTAGATTTCTGCACAGTTGTTGAATCGCAAAATGATCGCATTCAATTTGTCTTCCCATATGTAAAAACACAATACTTAAATCATGAAATACTTAAACTAGTCTTCCCATATGTAAAAACACAATATTTAAATTATGCATGGCTGCCGGTAATTGGCAGCAAAAATGTGAATATCGACGTTTTGTACCTGGTACTTGAAGAGTAAATAGGGTATCTTGTATTTGTGCAATTAACGGTTGTATGTAACGCACAGAAGGAAACGTTTCCGACCCCATAAAGTATATATATTCTTGATCAGCATCAATAGCCGAGTCGATAGAGGCATGTCTGTCTGTCCGTCCGTCTTGTTGAGCGCCTGGATCTCAGAGACTATAAGAGCTAGGGCCACCAAATTTTGCATCCAGATGGCTGGATGCTCACACTGTTGCAAGTGTATTTCAAAATTTCGCCCCACTCCTTCCGCCCCCGCAAAGAGTGAAAACCAAAAATGCCATTCGGTAGGGAAGGACCGTATCTATCAGATCACCGAACTGGGATCAGATTGGATCATTATTACAGCCACAATGAAGAAATTAATTTGCAGTGGCTAACCCCACCCTGTCCAGCAGCTTGTTTTTCACATTCTCTCATCCACATTATGTTTCGAGCAGTGTGTGGCTCTAGGGTATCGTGAGAAGTGATAGATGTGCTTTGTAGAAAAAAAATGTAAATGTAAAATGTGAAAAAAAACCACTAAGGTACAGACGTACCATTGAGGACCGGATATAAAAGTTGTGACGCGTAACAAGCGCCTCACACGTCACTCCTTGTTTTTTCTCGTAACATCCGCAACATCTGTTGAATCATGACTGAGTACCGGGTATAAAAGTAGTGACTCGACTGTGGACGTTCCCCCTAGTTATACCCAGTACTCGAAGAGTAAATAGGGTATATTGTATTTTTGCGAATAACGGTTGTATGTAACGCACAGAAGGAAGCGTTTATGGTTGAAGTATATATATTCTTGATCAACATCAATAGACGAGTCGATAGAGCCATGTCTGTCTGTCCGTCTCTCCGTCCGTCCGTCTGTCCGTCTTGTTTGTCGGCTAGTTCTCAGAGACTATAAGAGCAAGAGCCACCAAATGTTGCATCCAGATTGCTATATGCTCACACGGAAACCAGTGTATTTAAAAAATTAGCCCCGCCCCCGCAAAAAGTCGAAAACCTCCCAAAGCTACAATTTTGAAGATAAAATAAAACTTAAAACGCCATGTCGTAGGGAATGACCATATCTATCACCCAATTGGGATACGATTTAATCATTATTGTGGCCACAATGAAGAAATTAATTTTCCGTGGATAAACCCACCCTGTCCCTCAGCTTTTGTTGTTTTTTTCAAATTGTCTCATTCACACTCTGCTTCTGCTTCGGCCTCTGCCTCTGCCCTCCCCCTGCCGCTGACTCTTCCGACTTTGAACCCACGCCGTCCCACCCCGTTACAATTATAAATTGTAATGTCACGAGATTGTTGATTAAACAAGAAGGGACGTGTGATACGCTTCTTACGCGTCATACTTCTATACCCGGCACTCAGTACTACATCTGCACCTTAGCGATTATTTGTCAAATTTTAAATTCTTCATCTGTCATCTTCATCAACAACACTACTCACACTATAAAAATGAACTATAAAATCCTATAAGCCCCAGGGACCGGATGACTTCCAACCAGCCATTCTTTAAAAAGCATAATTACGCCTACCATGGTTACAGATAATCTTTAATTCAAGTCTATCTCAAGCCTAGTATTGAGTCTGAATATCTTTTTCTTCGATATTGAGGAAGCCTTTCAAAAACCTTATGATCGAATCTGGTAGGTTGGTATATACACGACGGTAACTTTAAGGCTGGGCTGCATTCTCAGATTGAGAACGAGATGCGCCAATCAAGTCACCTCGCCAAAAAAAGACTGTCACACCAGCGTGCTTCTTGCAAGTGTTATATCCAATCTTGTGGAACTTAGTCCTATGCGATAAGTACCTATGCGGATAGCGGAAAAGTTCTTGCTTCTGATCGTCTATCGACTTCGAAGTACCAGAAATTTGACTTTAAACTCTCACGGAAGAGAAACGCGGACGAAAGGTAGAAAAGACTTTTGGAAGAATACGGGGCTTGCAACCTGACATCATCTATGTGTACACAGCGATGATAATAATAATTTTAAGAAAAAGCATGTTGGTACGCCAAATCTTACCTAGAAAACATCCATAGAGTCGAACGGACACAAGATTTCTTGAATGCACCCCCAGGGAGATATACGTCCATCTCAAGTGCAAGGTTAAGACAAATGCAACTGTGCTACTAACCACTACTACTACGGGTTTTCCACCCGACGCCTTATGACCATGCCATAGTAATCCGTAAAAAATAGAGTTGAACGGTCGAGTAGAGTGACTACAGCGACTCTTCTTGGTTCTCTCATTGAAAAGAAACTTCAAGTGGGACATACCGAACCGGGAGGAATGGGACCGAAGGGACGGGAACAGTGATCTTTTATGAAGAACTAGCGATCAAGATATCCCTAAGACTACCAGACTGGTATAGTTAATTCCATGCAGAACTATATTCAAGATGGCAAGTGACAAATCTCTTCTACACCTTAGATATACCTCCACGGAACATATCAGTCTGCATTGACAGCCAGGCTGCTATCAAAGCAAGACAAGCAGAATTGTACACGAGACGGCGGATGCACTAAACTAGATCGAGTCTCACTCGCTTACGCTCAAGTGGGTCCTGGGTCACGCCTATGTACATCACGGACAACGAGAGGCGATATGTGTGCAAGAACTGTTATAGTCTTAGCAAAGCATGACGAAATAGATTAGACAGACAGTAGGAAGCAACTCGCAACAGTGAAATCGCGTCAAGACTCTACGGGGGTCTGTTCGGCCTGGTATTGAAGCCTCGTTATGTTGAATCCATAACGAATCCATGTTGAATCTCTGCCCCTTTAGGCAGAGGATAAAATCGCATGACGTTAAAATGGGCAGATCGGCCTCCGAGTGCCTTGATTTTAGTCCAGCAGCCCTAGAAACCTAGCCCTCCTAAGCCTACGACGTGCACACACAACGCTCAAACCATGTCCACCAAAAATAAGTTACAGCTGAATTCACCAAAGTTATCTTAATATCGAGCTGTCCGGCACTATCAGTTTCTGGGTTACTTGACGGCTGTTTCAGCTAAGTTGTTTGACGTTAGATTTTCCTAACTTTACACTAAAGTGTATTGTCCAATTTAGCTTTTATCTATTATTTTTGCATCCGAATGCCTAATATGTTGGTAAAACACGAAGTTTTTAAAGCTAAATAATTGCTGAATTTTCTATCTTAGAATTGCATAGTTGTTCTTAACTATATTTAGGATCCTAAATTTATTTGGTAAAACACAAGCTCACCTTTGAATAAAAATAAAAGCATTTTTAAATTCTTTAAAAAAGATGGTCTATCAAAAAGGTAGCGTGTTGATTCAAAATGACAAAAAGCACGCAAACCTCTAAACTTTTAAAAAAAATGTAATGTAAATGAAAACATTGAAGCATAAGAAAGCATATTTCATCACATTTTTTCTTTTTAATTCTCAGAACAACTGGACCGCATTGAAGAGGGAATGGATCAAATTAATGCAGATATGAGAGAAGCTGAAAAAAATTTGAGCGGAATGGAGAAGTGTTGCGGTATTTGTGTGCTACCATGCAATAAGTTTGTATTTGCAATTTATTTAGCTTTTGCAGTTTAACAATCAAAACATTATATAACAATTATTTTATGAATTCAAATAGTCACATTTAAAAATTTATATTAGTATAATAGAACCAAACTAACTTTTTATACCCGGTACTTGAAGAGTAAATAGGGTATATTGTATTTGTGCACAAAATGAATGTATGTAACGCACAGAAGGAAACGTTTCCGACCCCATAAAGTATATATATTCTTGATCAGCATCAATAGCCGAGTCGATTGATCCATGTCTGTCTGTTTGTCCGTCCGTCTGTACGTCTGTCCGTCCGTCTTGTTGAGCGCCTGGATCTCAGAGACCATAGTGTTGTTGATGTTGATGACAGATGAAGAAAAAATGTAAAATTTGTAAAATGTAAAACTTTTATACATGGTACTCAGTACTCAATCTGTACCTCAGCGATTTTTTGACAAGGGTTATATTTTTTCTTCATCTGTCATCTACATCTTCAACACTTCTCACTCCAGAACGCTCTTTTAGCTCGCCCCACTTCCCTAGAACCGTACACTGCAGAGTCACGGCAGAGGCAGAGACGCGGCAGAGACAGAGACCGCACACTGCAGAAGCAGAGTGTGAATGAGAGAATATGAAAAAAAAAAAATATAAGCTGCGGGACGGGGTGGGTTTAGCCATGGCAGAGGCACAGAAACGCCAGAGGCCGCACACTGCAGAAGCAGAGTGTGGGTGACAGAATGTGCAAAAAACCAAAAAAAGCTGCTTTACGGGATGGGCGCAGCCACTGCAAATTAATTTTATGATTCTGGCTATAATAATGATCCAATCGGATCCCATCCCATATCGGTGATCTGATATTCGTATTCTGCTCGGTTGCCGCAGCGGCAGAAAAATAATTCTAACACGTAACTTAACATTTTTCATCGATGTTTTCTGGTACTGCAGGGTGATTACAGCGTTTAAAAGTTGTGAAGTGTACGAAGCGTCTCACGTTCCTGATCGTTTCATTTGTATAGGGTTAGTTGACCAGCTAACATAACAACCGTCTCTACATAGATTTTGATGAGCAATACCTTCAACAACGCCCAATTAATGCACCTGTCAATTAAAAAAATATAGAACTCAATATGTAATTTCTTTTCGACTTTTGCCGAGTTTTTAAAATCACAATTTCGTAAAAAATCGCTCATAAAAATCAAAATTTTTACATTTCAAAGCTTAATATAAGCGGTAAGCTAAATCACAATGTGTTTGAAACCACTTGTTAGCTGCATCAATTAGCTTTTCAGATAAACAAAGTTCTTAACAAGCAGATCGAAGATACTTAAGATACTTAAAAACCCGCTACCTCTTAAAAAACCGTTACAAAACAAACCATTCTTTACCAGAAAAAAACAAAACTTTAATACAAATTGTAGTCCCCGATATCTATTAGAAAAAGTCGAAAAAAGTTCGATTTTGTAGTAGTGTTATTTAGGATTAATGGTGAATAAATGCACTTCTTGGGAGGGGAAGCAAGATCGCTCCCCCTGGCCTTAACGTACTGTTTCAGTGTAAACTGTAAATTAAACTAATTTTAAAATTACAAGAATTTTCGTTTGTATTTAGTAAGTTCATATTTTTCACATATCTTTCCAGGAGTCAGTCATTTAAAGAAGACGATGGAACTTGGAAAGGAAATGATGATGGAAAAGTGGTAAATAATCAACCTCAAAGAGTTATGGATGATAGAAACGGAATGATGGCACAAGCTGGATATATCGGCAGGTAAAATGTTGATGTTTTTGCAGTATTTGGAACAGTTTAAGTAAATTTTAATGTAATTGTTCGTCACTAATTACCATCATAATATATTCGATATATAAAAAATGTAAATCAAACGAAATGAAACGAAATGGTTTGAAATATGATGCAGCTAAAAATTTGACTCAAACTATTAGTTGTTTTATTTTACTGTCTGCAAACTAAAAGGCTATAAAATGAAAAAATTTTGAAATTTATGCGGTAATTTTAACAACATTTCGACTTTAAAAACTCGGAAAAAGTATAAAAAACGTATATCCTGGGTTCTTCATCTATAAAGAGTACGTTTTGTAGGGTTGAGTGCCCAACTGCCACAGTATTTTTGGCTTCACTGCCCGAAAAGTACTGAAAAAATACTAGAATTGTAAATCCTTAAATATGTCGTTATTTAACCGAAAATTAAAGATTTTTAGAAATGGTTAACCAAAAATAAATTACAGAGAATATAATTGTTGTTCGACTTTTCAAGAGTTTTTAAAGTCATAATTTTTGCATTTCAAATTCAAAATGTTTGGCTGCACTTTACAGATGCATTTATTAGCTCTTTAAATTGACAAAGATCACTACAACCAGTTGTAAGATACTTAAGTTACATATGCGAAAAAAAAGAAAACCAAATTTTTTTGCTGCCAAAAGTGCTGCCATTGAAAATTAAACTATATATTATCAAACCATTTCTACGCCTAGTCTTCGACTTATTAGTACATAAATGTGGTATGCATTACCAAACTTGGTCATTGAGTGATATCCACAGTGTGTGGATGTGTATCCACAGCCGAATGGGGAAATACTGTATTAAAACAACGTTTTTTATACCCGGTACTCGAAAAGTATATAGTGTATATTGTATTTGTGCACAAAAGCTCAGATAAGGAAACGTTTCCGACCCCATAAAGTACATACATATATTCTTGATCAGCATCAATATCAGAGTCTATATCTGTCTGTCTGTCTGTCCCCCTGTCCGTCCGTCCGTCTTTTTTGTCGTATAGTTCTCAGAGACTATAAAAGCTAGAGCCACCAAATGTTTTTTCCAGACTGCTGTCTGCTCACACTGATACAAATGTATTTCATAAATTAGCCCCGAACCCTTCCGGCCGAACAAAGGGCGAAAATCTGCGGTATCCGAAAAACTAAGAATGCCACTCCGTAGGGGATGACCATATCTATCAGATCACCAAATTGGGATCCGATTGGATCATTATTATAGCCACAATGAAGAAAAATAATTGTCAGTGGCTAAAGCCAACCTGTCCCGCAGCTTTTGTTGCTATTTTTTCACATTTTCTCATTTACACTCTGCTTCCTGCAGTGTGCGGCAGCTGCCTCTGCCTCTACCTCGTCTCTGCCTCTGTCATGACTCTGCAGTGTTTGTCTCTAGGAAAGGGGGGCGAGCTAAAGGAGCGTGTTGGCGTGAGAAGTGTTGTAGATGTAGATGGCAGATGAAGAAAAAATGTAAAATTTGACAAATTCCGCTAATGTACAGATGTTGTACTGAGTGCCGGGTATAATAGTTTTTGACGCGTAAGAAGCGTCTACCACGTCCCTTCTCTTTTTATTTGTTACACATTCTCTAATTCCACTCTCTGCTTCGTGTAGTGTGCGGCTCTAGGAGAGGGGGGCGATCTAAAAGAGCTTGTTGGCGTGAGAAGTGATGTAGATGTAGCCAACAAACCTTTGACAATTAATTGCAAACTAATAATTACTAACTCCGAGCTCACATATTACTTATTTCCCTTGTTTTAGAATTACAAATGATGCGAGGGAAGATGAAATGGAAGAAAACATGGGACAGGTTAACACAATGATTGGAAACCTCCGTAACATGGCTCTCGATATGGGTTCTGAGCTAGAAAATCAAAATCGCCAAGTTGACAGAATTAATCGCAAGGTAAAAATTGTTTATATTAACATAAGTTAATAAATTTTTGTATTGTCGAATTTTATTCCCAGGGCGAGTCTAATGAAGCTAGAATAGCTGTAGCCAACCAAAGAGCACATCAGCTACTAAAATAAGGAGAGTCTAGGACGACGTGTACATACAATCATAGTCTCTTCAATATTCACATCCATATTCACTTTCGGTTGCCTAATCAGTGCTCCAATAGTGGTAATCTAATTGTCACGAATATAATATTAATATTGGCTTAAAATGAATATATTTAAACAAATGTTTTAAATGAGTTATGTAATATTTTAACGCATGAGCTATTTTATGAATACATATGTACTTATGAAAGAATATCTGTAAATATTAATGCTCCTCGCCTTGAAACACATCAGAAAAAAAATTAAACCAGCCAAATTATGTCGAATCTATAATTTATCCGTTAGTAACAAATCTTGTATTTTAAAGCATTAATTTAATTTAAAATTCTATTTTGGTATTTCCAAATACAAGACGATTTTCCATTCTAAGATAAAATAAAGTATTGTGTTAAAAGAAATAGAATATAAATTACCAAAGCCGAGCCGATAACTCAGAAAATCTGGCTCTCGAATTATACAATTTAGGTTCAAACTAATAATATTACTGTAAAAATACATTTTTCTTACATAATGTTCGTACCTTAAAATTTGAGGAAAGTATGTAATCTATACTATTATTATTGTAATAATTGATAATTATAAATACAATTTATTAACAGAGATTTTAGTAACATTTTTTGCTCACTTGAAAATGTTATTAGGATCTTTAACATAAATGTTAATTTTTTATTTTATATTGTCTCTGAAATGATTTATTGTTCTAAGAAGAGAAATTCAAGTAATAAATGATTTTATCCTAAATATTTATTAATTATTAAAGAACTTTTCATAAAGGGAGACGTTGACAGAAAGTGCGTGACGCCCAGCATCATACGCAAAACCATATAAAACTCTCGGAGCGCATTAAAATCCGCAACAATTTGTTTTTCAGAACGATTTTTCCTCCGCGACGACCCTGAAGAAAGGACCCGTTATGGGAATATTGATTTACTTAAAAAAGATTTGTAAATTACGTTAGAACCGTGCAAACAAGTATCAAGTATCAAAAACATTAATTTAATTTAAAACACTATTTTGATATATCAAAATACAAGCCGATTTGCCCAACCTTGTACTTTTGCCACCCTTCTCCACGCCTTATTCCTTTATAATTTAAAATATGACAGCCCGAGATAAGATTTGTGTGAAGTGCGGTCACTGGGCACTGTGGTTGCGATCATAGGCCAAAAAAAACTAATCCAACCATATACAGGATTCAAAAATATTTTTAAATTGTCTTAATTTCAGAAGTCCAAAACTTTTTTTCCTGAAAATGTAGCGTAGTTTTTCATAAAATAGCTTTGACTGTTTGTCACGCGCCTATTTGAAACTCACCGCTGCACACAGTCCGAATTTTTCAAAAACGAACAGCAGTTCTGAGAAGTCAGAACCATTGGGTTTTTGTACCAATCAGAAAAAAACGTTTTCGACCATATTATATAAATTATTCGTATATAAATTCTTGATCAATATCAGTATCAGACTCGATATAGCCATTTCTGTCCGACTGTCAGTCTGTTAGTTTTGTGTTGACGCCTAGTTCTCAGAGACAAGAGAGCGTGAATACTCTTGTGATATCACACTGAATCAAGGATCTTTCACCCACCCCTTCCAGCAGCACGAGTTATGCTTGCTACTCAGTCAGTATACATGTGCCTTAGTGTTTTTATACCCGGTACTCGAAGAGTAATTTGGGTATATTGTATTTTTGCACAAAGTGGATTTATGTAACACACAGATGGAGACGTTTCCGACCCAATAAAGGATATATATCAGCATCAATAGCCGAGTCTTATTGAGCGCCTGAAGAGCGCCAGAGACTATAAAAGCTAGATCCACCAAATGATGCATCCAGATTGCTGTATGCTCACACTGTTACAAGTGTACACAATTAAGAAAATAGAAGAAAACAAAAAACGCCATTCCGTAGGGAAGAACTGTATCTATTAGATTACCGAATTGTGATCAAATTGGAACAATTGCAGGGGCGTCCTCACCCCGTCCAGCAGCTCTTGTTTTTTGCACATTCTTTCATTCTAAACTCTGCTTTGAGCAGCGTGCTGCACTAGGAGATGGGGGTTAGATATACTGACTGAGTAACGGGTAAAAAAGTTGTGACGCGTAAGAAGCATCTCACACGTCCCTGCTCTTTTTTTCGAACTTTCTGTCGAAAGTACGGGTTGGTCTGGAAGGAACCGCAAAATCGATTCGTCCCAAAAGCGTTTGGGAGTCCACAATCCCGAGAATGAGCTTATGCATGAATAATACCCCATTGCAAATTTTGCGATGGTGTAAAGAGGGTAGATTCAGTAGTTTTAGCCTAGATAGGTATGGTGGAAGGAGTCTGTTAGAGTCCCAGTTTAGATTTCTAAGGGCGAATATTAAAAATTGTTCTTATACGGATTCAATAATAATTGTTTGCTCCTTCTATTGTGGACTCCACACAAAAGAACAATACTCCAATATCGGGCGAACCAACGAGACGTACAGTGTTTTAGTTATATACGGATCGTCAAACTCTTTTGACCAACTCTTAATAAACACAAGAACTCCCTTAGCTTTGTTAACAGTTGAAGCAATATGGCTATTAAAACATAGCTTGTGATCGAAAAGGACTCCTAAGTCATTTGATGTGGAGATTCGATCCAGAACATGGTGTCCTAGAGAATAGGAGACAAAATGTGGTGCACGGCGGTTATGAGCATACATTAAAGAAACTGAGTGCATAATAACTTGGGGCAGGTCGTTCACAAACAAATTGAAAAGAAGCGGACCTAAATGACTTCCTTGAGGAACTCCAGAGGTTACTTTCACAACATTCGACAAGACATTGTTAAACAAAATACGCTGTGTGCGACTCGACAGGTACGATGATATCGAATTTACAAGATTTGTGGGAAAACCTAATAAAGAGAGTTTATGGATCAGCAAAAATTAACAGAATCAAAAGCTTTACTGAAATCTGTAAAAATGACGTCAGTCTGCAAGCCACTTTGAAATCCTCGGTTGATTAGAGACGAGAATCTAAAAGGTTAGTAGATGTTGATCGATGTCAAAAAAACCATGTTGCGACGGGGAAATAATGCTAGAACATGTGTGTTGCAATTGACGAGTAACAAGGTGCTCGAGCAACATCGGAATGGCATATAGTTTAGCAATACCACGATAGTTTTCGATATTAAATCTGGACCCTTTCTTGTGAAGAGGAATAAGGTAGGATTCATTCCAGATCATTGGGAGACGAGATCGCTCCAGGGATAAATTAAATAAGAAGGTCAAAGGATGAGATAGTGCTTGAGTGCAATATTTTAAAATACAGCTCGGAACTTTATCTGGACCCGCAGAGAAACAGATGTCAATTGATGACAACCCTTTCTTCAAGGAAGGGAAGAAACACGTTATTAACATGAGGTAGATGGTATGGATAAGGAGTGGAGGAGTCATAAGTATCCGAGGAGTACGTCGATTGAAAGATGGTGGCAAATAAATTTGAAATTCCTTGATCTGAAGTTTCTGTTTTAGACTGTAACTGAAGGAAAGAAGGGAACGCGCTAGACTTGCGTTTTGAGTTGACAAACGAAAAGAATTTTTTGGGATTACTACGGAAATTTGTGCCACATTGGATACGTTATAACATTTCTTATTGACAGCAAGAAATTGAGAGCGAACCGAAGAATATTGTGCAAAGACAGACAAAGAACCAGTTATCTGGTAGTTTTTGTAGAGCCGAGATTTTGTATTTTTTAGGTAAGACAGATCCTTAGAAAAGTACGGAGGTTTAGAGGATAGAGGATACAAATACGGTGACTTCAGGGACGTAGGTATCGAGGGCAGAGTATAATGTTTCGTAAAACAGATTGACAGTAGGCTCTATATGTGATGAGGACCGAAGAAAGGACCAATCAACTTGCGAGAGATGTAGACAAAGATCGATAAAATTAGTTTTGCGGAAACACTTTATACGACTTTTTGAAGGTAAAATGGTGTTAGTATTAGAGACCTCGAAAAATATAGATAAAGTGGGATGATGCGGATCTTCGGGAGAAGATATCGGATTTCCTCTTAAAACCGTTGTACGAGAGGCATCGCTGACGAAGATGAGATCTAACAGTCAATCTCTATTATTTCTGACAGAGTTAATTTGGGCAAGCGAGACGTCAGTTACCCCCTCGACGAAATCATGTTGACTTCCAGGTAACATGTTTGAATCATCCTGTTGCCAAGATAGAGATGGGTTGTTGAAGTCACCCATGACTAGTATCTGATCAGCACAGCCTAAAGCAAAAACTACAGATTGAATTACAGAACGGCGGTTCAAATAAAAAGCGGCATCAGATCTTGGTGGAATATAAGAACAGGTCAAAAATATATATGCTGTTCCAATACGGATTTTGACTGCAACGAATTCGATACCATGGATGTTGTTGAATGGAAACAGCTCGGACGCAAATGCCGTTTTCACTGCAATAAGAACCCCACCAGCGAATGATGGACGATCCATTCTATAAGTGGTGAACTTTTGGACGAGAATTTCGTGATCGGAGACAGAGGAGTTAAGCCAGGTCTCAGTTATGGCTCAAAAGAGGCACTGTCCGTATGTATTTTAGACAATTTACCTAAAAGACTGCGTACGTTCTTATATTGGATGGAGAAATGGTTCCTTAGTTTTTTTAAATCTTAGGAAGAGTAACTCGAGGATTCTGGGTAGAGTCTCTGGCAGAAATTCATGCATAATATTGTGCTCTGGCCATGCAGCCGGTTCCAAAGCTTTGGATACAAGAGAATCGGGAAGAAGAATTTTGAAAGATGAGATATGTGTATGTGAGCTTATGTGTAAAATTAAATGTATTTATAATAAAGTTATCCGGCGTCGATTGAAGAGCTAGATGTAGTTTGACATCAGCCGGTGTGGCTTCGGGAATAAGACGAGAGACAAAGATTGCTTTGCGGGGGATCACCGCGCTGAGTGGAACACCGGAAAAGCGAGCTGGTGGAGCTACTCTTAAAAGTCTCTAGGCGGGAGCTGAGGAGCTAGAAGAGGCTGCCGATCCATCACCATTCAATGAAACAGAGACCGGAAAATCATTTGTTACTGGAAGCTGAATACTGTTAGGGATTCCATCACTGGCAACTGAGTCCGAAGTTAAATTGACAGGGGTATGGATTTTTGAGGCAACTACTATGTTGTTAGGCGTGAGAAAGGCTGGATCATCCGATGGCGGATGGACATCCATCGGTGAAGGTTGGCCACTAGGAGTAGAAAATGAGTCCATCGGTTGTAGGTGAGAGGCAGGCTTTCCACTAGGTAAGACCAGCAGTAGGTTGTTGTTCAGTATTTTCCTCCTTGGTGACACTCTCAGTTTGAGGCCCAGAAATTGCGATTCCAAAGTAAGGAACTTATCGTTGAGAGCATTGAATTGCTTCAG